AATTATCAGAAAACTAACTTTATCTTTCTTAAATCACAATTACAAACATGATATATCATTACATTAAAAAAAAATATTACAATTAATTGAATAAAGGAAAATGATAAGATGCACAACACCAACATGTTGTTGGAGCTTGAGTGATACCTCTTTATTGTTATACAGCTCTCGTGGCCTCTCCTGTACCAACAAGTTTACCCCATTATTTTTCATTTCATACTCATTCCATATAATATTCTTCTAGGATTATTTCTAACAAGAAAATTCTACTACTCACTTGTATACCTATGCACATTCAAATTTATTCTTTACAACCACAACCAAATTAAGACTCATATCAAAACAATGTCTAAACAAAGTAGAACCTATCTTATTCTACTTTGGTGGTTATTATGGATGTTCTTTCTTATGGGATAATGTCTTCTCTTTGATTTGCAATTTATATAGTCTCTACATTTTTAAGCTAATTGTATTGGTTGTTGCTGTTTCTTTTAAAGTTTTATTGTGCTGCATGATGCTCATATATGTCACTCGTAATTTATGGTGCCCAAAGTGTCTTCTTTGTGTTTCTTGTTTCAGTTGATGCCCAAGGTGTCTCTTTACCTACTTGTCTTGGCTTTTGCTTTATGTTAGGTTAGAAACCTTGTAATTTATGGTTCCTTACATAACCATTGTCTGTTAATTTTAACTTGTTAGCTATGACTTTGATGTAAAGTTTTTTTAGGGAGTCTATTCCCTACTTTTGTAAATTACTGTATACGAACTTGCTAGTTCTCAAGAATTGTAAAATTTTGATCTATTAATATACTTACATTTTGAATTAAAAAAGAACCTGATTGATTCTAATAAACTTAGATTATTAATTCAAAAATATCATCTCTTATTTTAATCATAATTAAAATTATAAAAAGTCATCTTTGATTGTAAATTATCTTCTTTGAAATATAAAATAAAAAACTACATTTATATTGAAGGAAGAGAAACTTCATTTAGCCTTTAAACACCTAAATTAACCGATGTTGCCATTCAACAAAATTCTCTGGCACAGTTTTCAACCCGACATGTCTTATTTTTTTGTCCATATTTGAAGTTTTATAACTCCAAATTATGCAAGGTTACTCCCGTTGAAAAGTTAACATCCCTAGCTATAACTTCTATAGAGAAACTTATTCTAAATTTTATCATTTTTATGTTCTAATCTCCCCTAAAATTCAGAGATGAAACTGTCCAATTCTCATATATAGGCTTTACAAATAACTAAATATTCTATTCTTCTTCTCATTATATGAACAAGTATTCCCCTTCTATATATGTTATAATTTCAATAATTTCAACCTTCTAAAAACCATCGATCCAATTTATTTTTTATTTAAAATAGTTAAAACTATTTCATAAAAAATATATGCATTATAAAAATTCACAAATATCCTACTTTCACAACTACAATCATAATATGTTCAATTTATTCGGGTACCACAACCTCCTATCTTACAATAATTTATTTTTAATTTATTTTTAATAAAAACTCTTCTTTACATGAGAAATCAAACAATTCTTTATTATTTACACTTTAACCCCTCATTTGCATATTAACTCGATTTGTCTCCACAATTTCAAATTGATTTTCCTCCTTTCTTATCAAGTGTCACATCCCCTTCTATTTCTTCTTAATTTCATCTTTGATATATATATATATATATATGTTTTGAATTTTTCTAAATCTTAATTTAACCCATTTTATTTTCGGGTTAAAATTTTTATATTTCAGAAAAATTTTAATCTAGAGTTTACATTAATACATTGGATTACAAGAACAATCTCAACCTTTTATTAGTCTCAACAAAACAAATACACAAGTATATTTTTATATGCTATGCACAATGGTTTTGCCTCTTATAGAACATATTACACACTTATATACAACCTACATAAAGAGTACATACATGGAACATTACAATAAAAATTATCCATATATACTAGAAATAAATTTGCTTAGTTTTGCCCAAACAACCAACTGTCAAAAACTGTTGATAACTGCCCTAACTATTGCATATCCCCTAGCTTATCACTCAACAACACATGTTGTCTATTTTGCCAAATCACGTGATGCATGAATAGGTGTGCATGCATGCCTTGAACTATTCATTATTCCAATCAGAACTTGGGTCAAATATTAACTCATGACTTGTTGAATCATTAGACGTACACTACTGCTAAATCTTCCATTTCCACTTCCTATGTATATTGTCATTGGTGCTACTAATGTTTTTCATCAAGCCTTGGACTATCCATCATCTAGACTTATTTTCATCCTTTATTATTGATTATGTTGACATTGTTGATTTCAATATTATTTCCTGGGTTGCCACTGCCCACTATGTCGTTCCAGTAATGTTTTCATCAATATACCCCTAACAAACCTAACTCTATTACAAACCTCTCCCACCAGAAGAACCTAACATCCTATTTAGACCAAACTTGAAGTACGCCTACACTAAGTTTTTTCATTGTCACATTTTCTTGTCCCCTCCACGAAGCCTTTTGGTTCTGCCCATATTAAAAAATGTTCATCGAATATGTGATGCTTAGGAAACCTTGATAGTCCCATCATTAACTATTTTTCTAACCAAATTGTGACTTTGTTCTTCTTTAAAGTCTTATTTGTTTATCAACAAAGTTAAACTAGATTTTGAGACCATCCTAAAGTGTTGAAAACCATTCCATTGATCTTTATCTTTGACAAACCCATTACACCGTCACATGTTGTCATATTTGCCATAATTATATACAAGTCTCCTAAACTTACAAACAACAATACTCATCTTTTTGGCAATCCTATATGCCTAGTTTATTCACTTATAAACTGTCTCCATAAAATTCAAATGTTTCCCACAAAATCTTAGAGATTTTGTTCTCTTCATCGACAACATCACATCAAACCACATTAAAAAATCACATAAACCCCATGAACTCACCCAACTTTCTTAGCAATCCCACGTGTAACTTGTAAGTATAAAAATGAGTAAAATCCAGTTTAAGTGATCAACACCATCTTGTGTTGAAGTTTTTTTGGCAAGTACCAACTTGGCACAAGCATACACACACAACATCCTAACATTAAATTCATCTAACCTAGTCTTCTATATGCTACTGATGTATCCAAGATACTTTACCATCATCCACAAGCATACTTTTTTTTTTTGTATGTTAAAAAACATTTGATCCTACCTATGACAAAATGCTTCTCAATTAACTAGATTTTAAAATTAATTGTTGAAATTTACATGCAAATGAAAAAAAAATGATATTAATGTTTATATATATTCTCTATTTTATTTTATGCTAAAGAAATTGATTCCACCCATAATAGTTATCAATTATCTAGTGGCCACCTAAAAAAAAAATCTTAAACTTTTTCAGGTTGTTTGGAATCAATTCTTTACTATAATTGATAAATAAATTGAATTTACATGTTTTAAAAAATAAAATAAAATTCATTTTATTTCCTATATTATTATCATTAACTTCATCTTATTTTTTCAAAGATTTTTTTATAAAGGGATATATTGAAAAAATTAGTTTTAATATTAAATTTATCCTTTTTAAAATTGTAAATTAGATGGACTGACCACTATTTTTTTTTTTAGTATTTTTAGAGATTGAATTCTATTTAAAACTCAATTCTAAACACTTAAAATGATTCCTTTCATTAAAACCTTTTAATTAAATTAAATTAAGAGGATTTCAAATATATTGTTCGTCAAATGCCACAAGACAGGACAATAATAAAAACAATAAACAAAAATAAAGAATAAAAAGTCATCTCATCTCTACCTTACACCTATACACCCTCATTTCTTTTTAATGAATAAATTGTGCATGTTATATTTAGTTTTATGTTCAACCAATTATGTATTAGAATAGTTAGGAATGGAGATAAAGAAACATAAATATTAATTAACTTAAAGATGTTAAAAAATATTATTTTTCAAATATTTATTTATCCCATATAGACACAACTTTTTAGTTGAAAACAAATCTTTTTAACTCTTTTAAAAATAAAAAAAAATAAAGATCACAAGTTAAAAAAAATGTTTTTACATATTTATTGTAATAAGATAGCTTATTTTTAAACTCATGAATTAAACTAAGTGATTATCAATTCAGATTAATTCTAACAATGTATTTATAAACTAATTCTTTGAATGAAATTAAAATTTAAAATTTGAAATAAATAAAATTAGTGACAATTTTAGTTATAAGTTCAAAGTGTGATTTTTTTTTTGGTATATTCAAGATTAGAGTATATATAAACCATGAAACTCCCTAATATTTTATTGCACTATTAAAAGTTGGTTGTTATAGATATTTTGGATGAAATGTTTCTTTATAATATGAAATAAACTTTATTTATGGATCGATTAGATGTTTCTTTATAATTTGAAATAAACTTTATAATAAATGTCACGTGAAATCATTTACAATAATAAATGGCGAAGTGGTTAGAGGAATGAGACATCACCATCAACTGAATTCAATAAAATCAAAATCCGAAGGAAGAGTGGATTGATCATCATAATTGTATTAGGTTTGCCCTCCGTTGATCCCGGTGATTATAATAAATTGTGTATCCTATCCACCATCCATCATGATGAGTCCTCCGCGATTGTTGCAGAATTGCAGAGACAAAAATAAAATAAATAAATAAATAAAACCTACTTTTTTTGTTAAATATTAATTATCCCTTATTCATCTACGTGCGTTTGATTGATTTTATTTATAATTTTAAAAGTGATTTTGTTAATCCATATATTATAATAATAATAATAATAATTTTACGGTTTAACTTAATTTTCAAATTATTTTTCATTTTAAAAAATTAAATTATTATTTTTAATAGTTCTGACATTTTTACTTAAGAAAAAAAGTACTTTGATATATTTTAAATTAAAAAAATATTCTTACAGAAACATAATCAACACTTAATTTTCAATATATCGTAAAAAACGACAAACTAACCAACATTCCAAAGCTTTGCTTCTTCTTCTTCTTCTTCTTCTTCTGGTTGGTATAAAATACAAATAGCAAACCAACCCATTTGTTTTCTTTTGAAGAAATCTGGGCATCCGAACCTTCATTTTCGTTTTTGAAGCTCCGCCTTGTTGGCTCTTGTATTTTATCCAATTCCCTGACCCGACTTCCCTACAACCCGAACCCGACTTCCAATTCAAAAATGGGCTGCGTGAGCTCGAAGCAGGCGGTGTCCGTCACACCAGCGTTGGACCATTCCGGAGCGTTCAGCACGGGTCGGATTCGGGTCGGCATGGACCAGCACCCAAGTTTCAAGAAGAATGGGGATCGCCGTCACCATCATGAGATGGTGGTAAGTTGCGGAGGGAGCGAGTTGGGTGAGTCAGGAAGAGCTCCAAGTTCAAATGGCGAGTCGTTGAGCTTTAGATTGAGGAATTTGCACAAGTACATTGAGGGTGAGCAGGTGGCCGCAGGTTGGCCGGCCTGGCTAAGTGCCGTCGCTGGCGAAGCCATTCACGGTTGGGTCCCTCTGAATGCTGATGGTTTTGAGAAATTGGACAAGGTTGTTAATTATATGCTTTTAGAAAATACTGTCTTACTCATCTGAAACTGGGCAAGGCTCTGCTATTTCATTTTAGTTTATAAATGCATATGCATATCTAGTTCCCCTGGATAGCCAACTTATACTTATGCCCAATTGCTTTGGTAGATAGGACAGGGTACATATAGCAGTGTGTTCCGGGCACGTGAGACTGAAACTGGGAGGATCGTTGCTCTGAAGAAGGTTCGGTTCGACAATTTTGAGCCTGAGAGTGTCCGATTTATGGCAAGAGAGATATTGATTCTTCGTAGACTCGACCACCCCAATATCATGAAACTGGACGGATTAATCACTTCGCGATTGTCATGTAGCTTATACCTTGTCTTTGAGTACATGGAGCATGATATCACTGGACTCCTGTCATGCCCTGATGTCAGGTTCAGTGAGTCACAGGTTTTAACTCTGCCTCTCTAGAATTTGTGTTTTTTTCTCAAGACCACTCGGAAATAATTAAATAAATAAATAAAAAAGATTCTCTTAATCTGTAGCATCATATGAACAGTTTACTTTACAAAACAAAGCATGTTAAGGTGCCCGTTGATTGCGGTTTTTTTCTGTCCTCTGAATTGCATAAATTACTCTTCTTTTGCAGATTAAGTGCTACATGCGGCAATTATTATCAGGACTTGATCACTGTCACTCAAAGGGTGTAATGCATCGAGACATCAAAGGATCAAATCTTCTCGTAAACAATGAAGGAATACTCAAGGTAGGAGATTTTGGTTTGGCAAACTTCTGTACTCTCGGGCACAGACAACCTTTAACCAGTCGTGTAGTGACTCTGTGGTACCGTCCTCCTGAACTTTTGTTGGGTTCTACCGATTATGGAGCATCTGTGGATCTCTGGAGTGTAGGCTGTGTATTTGCAGAACTTCTTCTTGGAAAGCCTATCCTTCAAGGGAGAACAGAGGTAAGCACGTACATGGTCGTGCATTATTATTCATCTAGTCTTTTTTTTTTTGTACGATCGGTGTAATACATTAAAACCCAAGGTGCTAAAGATTTATAAATATTTTCCGTAAGTACTTCTATTCCCATATCTTTCTTAGGTTAGAATTAATAGAAGCAAAGCTTATTCGTATCTTGTACAATTCTTCGATTCATTAATGGATTGCACAAGTAAAATTCCTTAAAGATTGCTCTATTATGATGCTAGATATGCTTTTCTTTTGTCCTTACTGCTACGTGAAATGGCAGTGAGGAGAACCATTTTGTATCTATTACATTATAGCTGTTACTGGTTCCAGCCGATGTGGTGTGCAGCTGTTCTTTTATCTAAGAGTGAAATTTAAGGAGGTAAAAAAAATAAAAAAAATCAAGAAGTTACAACCATCTACCACGAAGCAATATCTAGAATATGGAAATAAAACTTGGCAATCTGCACAGACTTCCATTCGATTTTGTGAGTTTGTGCTTCATTTAACAGTAGACTGTGGCAAATCGCTAACATGCCAAGTTGGGATGATCAGATATAGCTGTTTCCCATTTTTTGTTGTTGTTGCAGACTACTAAAGCATTAGATTTAACAAAATTTAGCTGTTGTAATTTCTGTTGATCTGCTTTTTTCTTCGAGATTTTGCATGAATGCTCTTCTTTTCCCTCCAGGTTGAACAATTACACAAAATTTTCAAGCTCTGTGGATCCCCGCCAGATGAATACTGGAAAAAGTCTAAACTTCCTCATGCAACTTTATTCAAACCACAACAACCTTATGACAGTTGTCTTCGTGAGACCTTTAAAGATTTGCCAACAACTGCTGTGAACCTGATCGAAACTCTTCTCTCTGTAGAGCCTTACACTCGTGGGACTGCTTTTTCTGCTCTTGCATCTGAGGTGATTATTACCTCCCATTGCATTTGATATGCTAATTGAAATAGATGACCTTAATTCATATAGCCATGGAAATTGGTATACTTCATGAAGTTCTATTTGAATCATCTTACACTGGTGGATCTCATTTCAGCCATTCTTTCCATTCTCACCAAGAAAAAGAAAAAGATAAAAAACAGAGATTTCTTGTCTAACGTCCATGTACTTCCATTTTAGTTTTCAACTTTTCCTTCTTTTATTGTAGTAAATCAGACGCAAATAGCAGTGGTGTTTCTTTATGGAAATTGTGTGACTTGGTGCCTAGGTTTGCCTCAGTAGGGTTCTTTAAGTAGAAGCTTCTTACCTACCATTTTTCAGTATTTCAGCACAAAACCTTATGCATGTGATCCATCAAGCTTGCCAAAATACCCACCTAGCAAAGAGGTTGACGCAAAAAACCGCGAGGAGGCAGGGAGGTGAGGATTCTCATTTTTCTTGTCCAATTTTCTCTTATAAGATTTATGTTTCCACTGAATTAAACCTTGGTTTTCGCAGCATTTACTTTTTCAAATCAATGAAGTCAATTCCTTATCTGTGGTAACAACTGTGACACACAAGCTGGATTTTTCTAGATATGAGATTTAGTATTCAAGCAACTTATGGCCTTGGAGTCGAATGACGATTAAAATTAGTCCATTATGCCTCAAAGTTGCATTAAAGGGCATTTGTCAGCCATGTGACCACTGGTATTACCAAGAAAATGAAACAGATGCCACTCATTAAAATCGTATACCTTAGCAAAAGTCTATAATTGCTAGTGTTGGACATTCAAATACCTGTCAATTTACAAAATGCATGTAGACAGCTCTTGGAAATTTATGTCTAGAAACTCTATTGACTAGAGACTTATAATTTAAGACTCTTGAAATCTCCAGGATTGTAGGTTATACACTTATATTGACATCCAATTATATTGGCTCTGAAATTTCAGGAAAAAGATTGGTGGGAGAGGTCGTGGCACTGAAACAAGAAAGTGTACAAGAAAACCATATGGAATCTGTAAATTGGCACCAGCAGAGGTCTCTCCTGCACACGCGCATGCACACACACACGCAGTTGGTTGTGGAAGCTGATTCACACTGATAGTGACAAGTTCCTTTCTGTCTCCAGGATCTAGCAGCTAAAATACAATGCAGTCAAATCAATACCAGTAATATGCGTATTCCAAAGGTAGGAGATGGCAAGTCTGGTGGAGAAGCACGGAAGCCATCGCTTGATAAATTGGAAGAGACTTTCCATATAAAGAATGCATCCCAAGGAGACATTCCCTTTTCTGGCCCATTACAAGTTTCTAGTTCAAGTGGTTTTGCTTGGGCAAAAAGACGAAATGCCGATGCATCCATAAGATCCCACAGTAGGTCTATTTCAAGAGGTCATTCTAATAATGGATCAGAACCCTCCTCTGCATTGCAAGAGAAAAATAATTCTGACTCAAAACAGCATAATAATGGGGATCTCATATATGGAGTCCGTACCAATTCTAGAGGCCATAATTCATATGAGATTTCTAAGTTTGCATTGCAGAAACAATGGAGTCAGTTTGAACGTCCAGATTCTTTTGATGCTTCTGAGGAGTACCATTCTCAAGAACTATCATTGGCACTTTATCAAAGAGAAGAAATGGAATCCAAGAGAAGTAATTTGGTATGTGTGTAAATATTAAACCCGCATCTGACTTCATTTACATTTTTTGTTGAAGAAGAAACGAGATAAATTTCTTCTTTTTTGTCTGATAATGCATGTAACTTGTCATATTTTAAAATTGAATGAAATTTCAAGTTGGGGATAACTGGGAGGCAGTGATGAACACGGTCAGCAGCAGGGTTCAAGTCACATGATTGCTGGCTGTTGCTGTGGGGAACTGCTATTTGGGTTTAAGTGGTGGCGTGCTTTATCAAAGACAACAACAGGGGCAATGATTTTTCATGATTTCCATCTCCTTTTCTATTGAGAGAATCTTGAAACCTCAAAATTTGTATTTATTCAACAGTAGTTTTTTTTTTTTTTAAAAAAAAATTGATCTCTATACATTGAAAGAAAAAGCAAAGATCAGGCTTACTAAATAAGATTTCTACATTGTCATGGTTAATCCAAGAGTCAAACTTTGACACCAATATCACATTGGGATGATTAACTCTGACCATAGTTCCAGCCACTTTGTAGAGTGTTTGAGCCGCACAGAATTTGAGTTATGAAATTACCTTTAATCCTTTTCTGTGCATTGTTATGTTTGTGAATTGAAAGGAAAAAAGAAAAACATTAGAGAGGTGCAAATGTTTAACCGTTACTCTCTATTGATTTTCTAACTTAAAGTATAACTTGAACAGGTTTTTCAAGATCAAATGGACAAGGTCGACTTTTCTGGACCCCTGTTATCTCAATCACACAGAGTGGATGAACTCTTAGAAAGACATGAGCGCCACATTCGCCAGGCAGTCCGAAAATCATGGTTTCATAGAGGTATGAAGATGATAACACAAGTCCCCTCACTTTTTATAATATTTTGTAAGGTTTTTAGATCATCATCAATCATACCAACTTGGTCTATGTTCATTGCATTGAATCATGTAAGACCCTAGTTTCATTCCTTTCTTAACCCTGAATTAATTGATTAATTGATGTAAGGTGTTGAGTTATACCTAAATAATGAAAGTAAATTGAATCTAGATAATTGATCGGGGACAAGAGGTGGCTACTTAATCATTGACTATCAATTCCCATTATGAAGGTCATAACTGATGCTGTCATCTATGAATTCTACTTCTTATAAATTGGTAGTGCAATATAGAAGAAACTTGAACTCTGGTATAGTGAGGCTAGCATTACTCATTAATTTTATCAATTGTGATAGTAGTTGCCCGTTGCCACCGCACATGGATCTTCATGAAGTTCCATAATACCCAATTTGACTAAAATTTTCTACTAGTTTATAGGTAAGAAGCATGGAAAGTGATCATTATTATGTATGCCCGGCTTCCGAAGCCCTTTTTATATGATGGATAGGTTTCTCTCCAAGCAAAACTTGAGAAACCTTGCACAAGAGGCCACTTATCAGGAATCCCACCCTCAAGGAGACAAGTTTAACCTGAACCGGTGTACCCAAAAATGACACCATTGAACCATCAGCTGAATAGAAAGTCCTGCATAAGAATGGCGAGGAATGGAAATCTGGAAGCTATATGTTGATTGCTTTCCTGTATATCCAAAAATGAGGAGGAAATAGGGATTAAAGAGAGGTACATAATGATGGTTTGCTCTCTTCTTTTTCCTCTATTCCTTTTGAATTTGAAATTATCACCTTTCTTTATTTTATTTCATCTTTAGTCTGTTTTGTCAGCCCTTTTCCTTTTCCTTTCCTTTTATTATGATTTGACCTATCCTGCCAATTTTAAAAGTGTAATGATTTGTGATCCCGAGATTAATTTATGTAAATGCGCAGAGTTTTCAGGTTTGCAGCTTATATTTCACTTTTTAATATTCCTATCTGATACATGAAGCGATTCTTAAACGCAATTAATGGACATTTGACAATTAGATCATAACATGAGCAACTGTAATTTCTTTTAGGCAATAGCAGGGAGCCAGGATGTCGGTCAGATGGACAAGTTACAAATTAAATGCCTAAGCCTATCACTTTGTTTTGGGTTTGTTTTGTTCAATAACACTTTGTGTTTATAAAGTGTTAACAAAAGTGACTTAATCGAAGTCATTAGTTAATTGTTATCCAATTATTTCACTAATTAAGAATGATATGGACAATTAATTTTCATATATTATGAAAATTAAGTTTAAGTTCACATGGTAAATGAACGGGTTGTATGGTTCCAATATCTATAAAAGCAAAATGTTTTTTTTTTTTTTTTTAATATTGTATGAACTTGAGACATCTTCTGCTTTGGTCAAGTATTTGAAGGAATTTTAATGGAAAAATAATAATTAACGTTTGGATTTTGAGATAAAAGATGATTGTATCTCTCCATTTAACAAGTAGCTTAAGGCTTAGATGAGGTTGTTTTTCTTTTTGTTTGGTTTTGTATTTATCATACCTATTTAATGGAGCAACTAAATTGAGTTAATTTACTACAATAAAATTTATGTGTAAATTTATTCAATAAAACTATATCAAATCAAGATTATATCAAGATTGATCAATTATGACTTGGACTTGAAGTTAACATATAAACCGAATATAACTCTAATTCAACCTTTATTTGTGAATTTACCTCATGACCATCGAAGAATCTTGATATAGTTTCATCAAAGAGTCCTGATATAGTTGTTACTTGTGAAAATGGCTTTGCTTGGGATTATGATGAAATACCTGTTTTAAATAGAAATTTGGTTAAGTATCCATTACTAATTAAGCTTGGGTTTAAGCCATACAAACAACCTTTAAGAAGAATGGATTTATATGTGATTGATTGTGTAAAAGATTATTAAATAGTTTTTAGGATATGGATTTATTAGACTAATAAGATATGTTGAATGCATATCTAACATTATTTTAATATTAAAAAAAAAAAGAATGGCACATTAAGAATAAGTATAGATTTTATAAATCTTAATATTATAACTCAATAATGAATATGGTTTTAGAAATATTAATTGACTTAATAATTAGTAACTAGTTATGAAATTTTTAGTTTTATGATGAAATACCTGTTTTAAATAGAAATTTGGTTAAGTATCCATTACTAATTAAGCCTGGGTTTAAGCCATACAAACAACCTTTAAGAAGAATGGATTTATATGTGATTGATTGTGTAAAAGATTATTAAATAGCTTTTAGGATATGGATTTATTAGACCAATAAGATATGTTGAATGCATATCTAACATTATGTTAAGATTAAAAAAAAGAAAAGAATGGCACATTAAGAATAAGTATAGATTTTATAAATCTTAATATTATAACTCAATAATGAATACGGTTTTAGAAATGTTAATTGACTTAATAATTAATAACTAGTTATGAAATTTTTAGTTTTATAGATAGTTATTGAGAATATAATCATATCTGTATTGTAAAAGATAATGTGTTAAATATTTATTTCAAATATCACGACTCATTAAAAATATGAGTGATTAGTGATGTCGTTTCACTTAAAGAATGTTAGCATACATAAAAATGTTGGTGTTATGTGCTAAAAGACCATGACTTTGATTTTTCATGATATGATCAATCACAACACATGTTTACATCAAAGATATAGTGGTTAAATAAAAATCTAAAGCAACTGGGAGAGTTATGTCCTATCTTTGAATGTATGATAGAACATAATGTCAAGATAAATCCACTAAAATATATATTTGGTGCACAGAAAAGAAACTTTTTAGGATTTATGGTGTGTCAATATGGAATAAAAGTGGACAAAAACAAAGTAAAAGTCACCATTAAAGCACAAAATTTATAAAACAAGAAAGGTTACAATGTTTTATTAATAAAATCAATTTCCTTAAGGGATTTATATCGCATATTGTAGGAAATATCATGCAATTTACCAAGTTCTTTAATGAAAAAAACACAAACAAATTTCAATGAACTAACAAGTAATAAACTACTTGTAAAAACAAAAACTCATCTAGTTAATCTTTTAATATTAACCTCTCAGAAAGTCTTTAGGGTTGTACATTTATGTTATGTAATAATTAATTGGTAGTATATTTGCATGGAAAAATAAAGTTAGATATGAGTAGGTTGTCTATTATTTCAATTACGTTCTTATATATATAAACATTATTTGTCTATATACTTTACCAATGTAAAGCTTCATTAGTCTATCTTGCTAGTTGATGTGTATATAATTTGCAAAACAAACTTTATAAAGTACATGTTGGGTAGACCTTCCATACACGAGAACACTTGTAAGTAGATTTTAACATTGTTTAAGTTCAATTTACATTACATATCATAAAAAAACAGTTAAACGCCAATATTTGATTGATTTATTAGCTAATCACCTTTCCCTTGATATCGATCATGAACTAGAACAAGACATGGTTTATGAATATCCTTACTCCATGTCATTTATGTTCAAAACTAATAAGGTTGGTGTAAGGATGATAATAATTTCTTAGCATGCCATGAGGTAACCTTATCATTTTGGATTGATTTACCCTACACTAATAATAAAGTTGAAAGAGGTATTAATCAGAGGTCTGGAAATACTCTTGGAGTTAAGTGCACAATTAATCAAAGTAACATGAGATTATTTAGTTATTATAAACCAGTTAGGTAGCAAATATAAGTGTAAAATCCTACACAAACTCCATACCATGTAGTGGCCAAAAACCTTGTCAAAAGTTTTTCTATTTTTTTTAATGAGATGAAACAATACAATAATTAATAACTTGTCATAACATAAATCAAAATATAAAATGACCTTCAATAATTATTGCATTATCCTTGTGAGGATTTTCAATCAATAAGTTATTATTGATATGCAATAATGACATAATAAAGATTGAAGTAGTACACATTCTATGGTTGAAAATGCTCAAGATAGTCATAACAAAATTGTTGTTGAAATTTTCTGCTAACTATATGCGCAGGGTCTCAATTTGATCAATAAAAAGATTAGAAATAAGAAATCAAAACTTATTTGCAAGACTCTACATAGAAAGTTTCCAGATCTTTCATATTGAAAACAATTAATTATGTTCTCATAGCAAATGTATTATATAAGAGGATAAAACTAAACTCTTGCTCATATGTTTATAACCAAAGAAAATATTATTGGTCATGATAAATGTTTATAAGAGACTCTATAAAGCTTATAAATTTTAAATTAAGATGAGGTGTCTAATCATGAATCATAATTTTTATTAGTTAGGAATAACCAAAAATTGCATTAGTTATATAAAAAGATGTCAAGCATACTAGTAGTTTGGTTCAACTGTAATGACAGAGACTTATTGAATAAATTCCAAGTTGGCAGTAATGATAAAGGCTTGTGGAATTAGAAATTAAAGTTAGTTGTAATGACATAAACTTATTGGATAAATTTTAAAGTCGATTATAATGACATAAACTTATTTAAAAAATCTTAAGTTGACTATTACAATGAAGACTTAATGATTTAATATACAGTTGATTGTGATGTTGGAGATTAACTAAATAAGCTCATAGTCGATCGTAATGGCAGTGACTCATATTGTGAAGATTAACTAAATAAGCTCATAGTCGATCATAATGGCAGTGACTCATATTGTGAATAAAAGCGATGAAATGATGGAAATATAGTTGGAATTAAATAGTTTGAAACAATTAAAATCATGATAACCATGGTTCCATTTAAGTTTTGATATAGAATGCATGAGTAAAGTATATTCAATCTACTCTTATTTATTATTTGTATAACTATATATTGCAGGTTTATCTTACCTGCTACCACAACAGTGTGATCTTGCCTTAGAAATTGCATAGTCTTTTTGTTTTTAGATATAATTTTATAATTATTATTTTTGTAAATTTGATGCATCAATTAAGAATTTATATTTTGAAGTTGTAATAATTAAAAAGAATACTTTAATAATTAATTTAGTTTTTAAAGTAACAATAAATTAATTGTGTACATCCCATGCAATATTATATGGTGACAAGTTGTGGTTAAAGAAGATCATTGAGTAGTAAGCTTGAGGTTGCCTGTGCATTGGTTATGGAAACCAAATGTGGCTTTGGTTATGGTCAATGTGTATGCATATATTAATACGAGTTAAAAATTTAGATAGAGCTTCCATACAAGGGAGACTCTATCAAAAATTCATTAAATGGGATAATTTCCTTATTTTAATGAAAAACATCCTATGTGATTAACATGTTTACAAAATATAGTTTGACATGTGTTATTTGCTAATTTGGGATGAAATCTTATAAGGTTAAAATATAGTTGTGTGATTGTTGGAAGAGTTTATGTATAAATAATTTCCTAATTTTCACATATAAGTGATTGTATTAGTTCATATCTAATGTTATGAAATGTCAGGTTGTTACAAATTTGTTTAAATAATTAAATTGGATAAAATATTAGATAAAAGGACTTGACTAACATTTTTTGATCTATTTATTCAATTGATTTCAACATTAACATGTTGAGGGGTATTCCTTTATTTGTTATTAAATAAAGGAAAATGAGGGGACAATAATGTTTATACTAAAAATAAACATCCACATATCAATTAAATAAGAGTAGTAGTTGTTCGTAACCAAAAAGAAAAAGAAAGGCTAAAACTGATCAATAAAATTAAAATTAATTAGGTCTAGAAAGAATTTAGATTGACTAGGGAAGATTATAAAAAAAAACCTGACAAAAGAAATTATAAGTCATGATTGATCAAGAGAGTTGAAAATCATAGTTGATTAATGTAAACCATCAAATATAATAATCTCATCTTGATTTAGTAAAATAAAATAAAATACAAAAGATGTGGAGAAATTATTAAATTGAACAAATTAATTGGATTAAAAAAGAAGTTATTTAATGAGAGGGTGAAATTGAAAACAATAATAAAGGAGTAGGAGTTAGTAAAGAAAAAGAGAAGTAGTAGGGGTCAATGGATTGATAAAAAAAATGATGGAGTCAATATGAAAATAGAAGTAAATATGGGGGGGGGGGGAAGCTGTAAATAAGAAAAGAACATAATTATAAATAACAAGAAATATCCAGAAATCCCTAGAGTAATGGCCGGCCAAGGAGAGGAAGAATGAGGAAAAAAGAAAAATTAAGAGA